TACTGCTGCTTCTCTCTATTTCTGGCCACAAGACAATGAAGTCACGCAACTATCCTGTAATGTGTGAAATAAATTATGTAAAAAGAATAATTTTGCATTGACCTTTTTGTTTATAATAACCTTCTAGCACTAATAGATACAGAGATGTTGGATAGAAATGTCACTTCTCTTCCTAGATTTGTCCTTTTAAATATGCTGACTCGGTATATCTATTTGTATGTCACCAGAAAAAAAAAAGTTTATGGTCTTTTGCCTCTCTTTCTTCTAAGAGCAGGAATCAGGAGATCGAACTGACTGACCTATTCAGCTTCACAACTTTTATAGCACAGAGATTTTCTGGCCTATTTATGTGTCCGTGTGGTGAAAGCTGATGTTGCCTGGCAGGGTAGCAATAAAGTATTTGTGATGGAGAGGTCAAACCAAGCTCATAATTCTGGGCTAGTCCCAAAATGCAGAAGCAGTTTATTTTGGCTGAATTTCTTAACTGGTATCCTGTTACCCAAGGAAAGGGCTCTGGAATTGATTAACTGCACACAAAGGCTCGGTCTGTGTACTTTTTCATTAAGAAAAAGTTCCATTTGTTGCCATGACTTACCTTCACTTGCTGTGAACGGTATATGCACATCCAGTTTTGCTGTAAAAATAAAAAATTCTATGTGCTTTTGTCACAGGTGCATTGCATTTAAATTGATGCTCTTTTAACATCTGTTTCAAGTGCGATCTACTTTTTTCCTGTACCTATAGCAATAAAGCTTAAATATATGTATCTTTAAAAAGCAGCTATGTCAGGCTGAGCCATCTTTTTCAGTTGAGGCTGTTGACAGAAGGAGGCAGCAGCTTGATAAGAAGTTATAGTTTAGCATGAACAAAGCAGAATGAAAAACATTTTAGGATAAATAGGAAACTTAGTTTAGGAAAAGAGCAAAACATTTAGTAGGCCTAATGTTAGGAAGGAGCCATGGCAACACTAGAATATTACTGGTAGATCACTCTTCTTTTACTTCCCTAGCCTTTTTTCAATTCCTGTATTATTTGCATATTTAGAAGTCTCAGTAAAAGCTTTTTGATGCTGCATGATTAGCTGGTGCCATGCAGTTGTTTTCTGTAAGGCTTCATTGTTGTTTGACTGTGAAATACTTGAGCTCATTTGACCTGGAACTCCTAAACCCAATGTTTGATTTTCAAACTTGTGATTTTAGTTCCTAGGTACTTAACTGGCAGCTTTGACTTTCTGAAATACAGATGCTCCACACTATTTCAAAAAAAGACAGCTTGAAGATATACTAAATTTTGAAACGATAACTTATTTTTATAGTATTTGTATTGTTTAAAGTCAGGCTTAAATTTTTTCAGTGCACACTTCACAGTTAATGATGCCATGTTATATCAGCACATTTTCATTGCAGATTTTCCAGTGAAGTAATTTGTAGTAATAAAAACAGAAGGCACATCCTTTTTAAACTATGAAACACCCCAATGTGGGCACCTTAGAGAGCACAGAGATGTTATATATGCATCTCCATGAGTGAGCATGCCCTCCTCATCCTTTCTAAATGTTTCTGTTCACCTCTTGCTGGTGCCTGGAGGTTTACGCAGAACCTCTCTCAGAAGGGTTCTTCTGGCTTGTTTGCACTTGTCAAGTGCTCTGGTGTCCTGGTGAGGTAGTCTCTGCTCATTTGGTCATAGTCCTGTCCAAGAATCTAGACACTGACTGGATATATTTACACTTCTGACATTCCAACAGTATGTTTTAAATAATGTGTAAATAATGTTTTCTGGCTTGTAACACAGTTACTGGGGAGCAGGGGGAATACAAGCAGGATTAATGCTGTGTGAAAGCGAAGTCTTGATATGATAACAAAAGATGGACATTTCACCAGAGACTGACTCATTTGTCATATATTTGAAAGGGCATGGGAAGAAATCGGGACTGAAGGTTAGCACAGCAGACCCTTACTTATTAGCCAAAAGGAGGAGAAAAGATCTTATCCAGCAAGGCTGCAAGAGATTGCATTGCATTTTAGTTACTGACAGGAAGTGATTTTTCTTAAACCAAAATTTCAAACAAATGATGAAGACAGGCTTGAAGGTTACTCAAGTGTGAAGCCTGTTCATTCCATGTGACTAATAAATATTCTGTAAATATTTATACCAGTTTAACATAGTCTTAAACTCCAGTATCCTGAAAGTAACTGTCTTTGGAAAAGGAATGTAAGTTCTTTGAGTAAATTCTTTCACTACCGATAGTCTTATCTCCCATGTCAGTGCTAAATGTTGACTGTTCCCATATATATGCACGCTTGTGCCTATGGTTTGCACATGGTTGGGAGTGAGGGCAGGCTCATTACTATTGTTAGTGGAAACCATAATTGCTTTGTTATATTTTTATTTTGCATTATTTAGAAGTAGATCAATTAATCAATAGACTGTAAGTTGGTGTTAGACTTCTGGCAGCCTTCCTCACAAAGCATTTAAAGTTCTCTCTTGTTCTGTAGAATTTCATTTTCAGCCATGGCCACTGACCTTCTGAAATGCTGCTTAAAAGAAATGAAAAACCAAACAGTCAAAAATCACAGAACAACAGACAAACTCCTACCTTTTTTCCTTACACCCTGATGTGTGAGAACTGGTTATTGTTTCAAGGGAACCTATTGCTGCATTTTCCGCTTTTCTAAATGAATACCTTTTGAAATTACAGAGGTTGTTTTAGGCAAAATATTTTGACCTGTGTTTAATATTGTCAGTCTCAATTTCTGCTTTGAGCTTTTCCATAGCATTACTGTACATGGAGTTCCTATTCCATCCCCTAGTTCTCTGTTTTCAGTTTCAGATATATGTAGGCTATTATGCCTTCTCACAACCAAATGTTTCTCATGCTATTAATTATTGTTCAGATTTTTTATTGACTAAATTCGTCATTCATATCATTTATTACAGAAGTACTGATAATGTTTCTTTAGCTAAGAATCTCAGGAGATGGTGTTATAACTCAGTTATAGCAGTCTCTTTACAGGAAAAACAAACAAACAAAACAAAACCAACCCCACCATAAACCTACTACAGTCTTGAACTGAAATTTCTCAACTTTTTATGGATAAAATGAGTCTTCAGAAATGTAGAAAAAGCACAACTGAATGACCATGCTTCAGGGTGTAATCTGAGCTTTAGGAATAATAACGATGAAAGGCATCTTCTCTCTTTACCTGAATTTAGAAATTGTGTAAAATTCTCCAGTTGCATGATTTTTCCTTGGAAATGATACTAAATAACAGCCTTCCATTAGAGTATATTCAAAATTAAAAATATGTTTTCCTCACAGAATGAAAAATTGTTAGTTGCTGTTGAGACATCACATTGTCCATTTGTCTATGGTATCTATTGCTTCATGTAGGTAGGAAACCTTATGTTGTCAAGGAAAATTGTGATTTACTTTCACATCCACAAAAAGGTTTTTAGAGCTAGAATCAAAATTAAGTAAACTACAGTAGTCAGTAACTACTTTATTTTCAGATTTTTCAGAATTTCAGAAGCAAGATGGCACAAAAGCGTGTTGTCATCAATGAAATTAAAGCATATACTGCAAATTGTATCCTATCTGAATATAGACAGCTTTTGAACATGAGAGTAATAGATCACATAATTCAGTCAGATTTTACACAAACTCAGTAATCTCATCCAGCTGGAATATTCCGTCCCAAGCTTCAATTTCAGCTTCTTTTGCTCACCACCCTGCTGATGACTGAGGTTGCTGGAGTCACTCCCAGTTGATGGCAAGGCATCAAATCTGTTGATGGCAATGAATGATTGATGGCAGTGCATCAAATCTGTTTGAGATATACAGATAAAACTTGGCTACAGTGCCTGTGTTTTCTTCATAGAAGCTGATGCTTTAATCTTCTAAATTGTGAGTGTGGTAATGAATCATCCAAGATGCTTGGGGACAGACACCAGATGTTCTGATATACCCACTGTTTGTCTGTCGCAATACACTGCTTTTGTCATTAAATGCAAGTCAGGATAATTTTTCTCTTCCTCAAGCCACATACAGGAGATGCAAAACTAACTAGTCCTTTTAGAGAGACAGAAAAGTAATTTTTTTTTTTTTTATGTTACGTCTTGTTAGAAGATAGACACGTGCAGGATGCTTAGTGTTGCAAAAAATGTATTTCTAATATGTTGGGTGTTTTTTTGCTTTTGCATCTAGATTTCATTGTGCTTTCCTACTTTTTATTTGACCACAGCTTATTTTAGGATGTGTTTTCCCATTAAAGAGGTGTCAGCTTTTCTCCAAGCTGGGTAATATTTTGTCACACTTGGCACTTCACACTTTCATTCAGAATGTTTCACTGTGAATGTCTGGTTGGATTTTTGACTTTATTTTTGTTTGTTTATTTGTTTGTTTGTTTGTTTAAAAAGTCACTTAAACAAATTCATTCTGTTTGCCACCGAGTACAAATTAGTGTTGAGAACTCCTGTTTTCCAGCAAACAGATAACACATAGCTTTGTCAAAATGGCAGGCCATGCAAAGTTTGATAATTGAAAGCTTTCAGTCTGGCTCTTAGCAGTATTTAACTGGCAAATAAGACAGTTGATCCAAAACTCCTGATGTCTATACACTGCATAAAATCTACTTTTCATGTACTGCATAAACTTACAATTGAAGAGTCAATAGTCTGACTTGTGGGAACTTTTAGTGAAGATGCCTTACACTGAGTAGGATTCAATTATTGTCCTGTCTTTGCATTGTTTAAAGTTCTGATACACTTCTCTTTCCTTAACAGATTTACTTACCTAACTAGGGATAAAATTAATCCTTAAAACGTCTTTGTTAGTTTTTAATAAAAAAATAGTGTTTTTCGTTTTAAAAACTACATGCCCTCTGAATGAGGGAGAGATTGAGAGAGAGACAAAGGTGTAGATGGATATGTGTAGCTAAGTCAGTTGGCTTTACTGATTTTTTGAGCTTGCATTTCTTGTTTTTTCTTTAAATCCCTTTCAGAGATTGATATCGAGCGTTGTGTTCGTGAGTCGATCAACCTGTTTCGCTGGACTCCCAAGAGTGCTACGTACAGGCAGTACGCGCAGCCTCCACGGCCGGCCAGCGACAGCAACGGCACAAGGAGTTCCATGTCCTGCTTTTCAGCAGACTATCAGGAAGCACCTCGAAGTGACCTAGTAAGTAACCTGGGAATAGGAGTGGAGAGAACTGTTCAGATTGCGTGATGTTTCTCCTGCCTCGGGTAAGGCTTTTTTTCCTGGTTTAAAATTTAAACAGGAAGAAAATACCCACCAAACCTTAGTTACTGGCATTTATGCTGCCACCGCAAGCACAGGGATTTGATACATTCATCAGAGGTTCTGATTTGCTTATCAGCTAGTGCACAGTGTTAGAACCTATGCTATATTATTAATTTTGATGACAAATCAATGCAGTCCAATGCAACCCAGCAAGCTGCTGGGTTTGGGGGTTTTGGTTTGTGATTTTGCTGCTTTGAACTTCAGCTTCTTTGCTATACAGACCATTAAAATTATTTCTTCTTGTGACGTATTCTTGCATCTCCCAACTCCTGCTCCTTTGGCTCTGTGGTATTTGTTACCAAAACAGACCAATGTCCACAACTTGCCTGCAGAACTACAAACAGGGTTTACTGTGTGAGAAAACCAGTAAGAAGAACAGTTTGCCAGTGAGAAATAGGGAACTGGAAAGTGATGCTGGCAGCTCTGGCTGCTTTTACCCTCTTGGCATATCAGGTAAAAGGTATGCTGCAAGTTATTGTAAGAGGTCGTGTGTGAGTTATGCCTGTGTTTGTCTAGGCAAAGAATAACTAGTACCTAAGAGAATATATGCATTAAGTAGATAACTCAGTTTAGCAAAAAGGTTTTTCTCTTCTCTCTCCAGTAAAATCTGAGGGTTGTTTCTCTTGTCCAATGCACCATCTAAAGAATGCTGATTTGAAATTGTTCCTTTCCTTCCTCTCAGCAGTATAAGTCTAGTTAATCTCTTAAAAATCAAAGTTTTATTTTGTTGGTTTTTTTCCTTGCACCTTCTCCTACAGAGTTCACTCATGAGTACGTTGCAATAATAGGGGAAGTATATATAGACCTGCCGTATCTATTTGGTGAATTTCATTAGGTTTTAGTCTTTCCGTTTGTTTTTCCTAACTATTAAGACACTAAGTAGTGTTGTTGTCACTCAAATGGAATCTTTACTTTTTATTTCTTAAACCTGAAATTGATATTCTGTCATTTTCATGTTTTTTACTGTAGTTTTTATTTCTATTGTTGTAGTCTCTGGAAACCTTAGCTACAAAGCCAGTACTCCAAGTGTAGACATGCAAATGCAGAACAAAAGGAAACTTCTAAGAGCTTACAGGATTTAAGAAATGATAGGTGGATGTAGAAAGGTAATGGAGAAGAAAAGTGAAATTACAGGAGAATACTGGTAGTTGTCACAACTGCTGCTGTGCTGCTCTTGAGATACATAGAGAGGCTTTCTGAAGGAGCTAAGGGCTGCATATTTGTAGAATAATTCATATAGGACCTTAAGAAATCATTTGGTACAAGTTCATGCAGAAAGCAGGTCCAACACTGAATTCAGATGGGGTTGCCCAGGAATTTGATCTATTGGGTCAAGAAAACTTCCAAGGAATGTATGCAGTCTCCCTTGGCAGTCCAGTTGGATGCCTGACAGATGCTAACAGTGAAAATGATTTTGTGTATATGCTAGCTTTTCTGAATGTTATGATAAAGGAGTAAAAAGATAAGTCTTCTGATTCCTAAGCATTTGCTTGTGCCTTTATGTATCCAAGCAAAAGTGAAAGCTCTTGGAAAGAACAGAGGCAGACGGGAGAGAGCAGCAATGGTCTACTGAGATAGTAAATAGAAAAAGGATTTGTATTTGTAGCAGAGATAAACATCCTTTATTTGGACCTAGCAAAGTTCTTTCAGTATTCTTCCATTTCCTGAGAAATTTTTTGGATGTTTTTTACTGATAGTAATTTTAATTTCATACCAGAATTTGTGTTTGTTTATAATGCCAGTAACTAGGCTCTTCCATCCCACAGTTTCCAAGAAATTAGGCAAATGTTTTTGGTATGTTAAGGAGGAGAGAAATAAATACTAGAATATTGTCTTCTCTTTCGTTTTTACTTCTTTCTATTTAATGGCAAAGAACGTTTCATTTACGCAGCATAACTGATGGTTTAACATCTTTTGAAGCTCAAGTATATTGGATCTTTTGGTTACTGCTGTATCTTTTTTTAGCTCGAATTATGATCTGCAAATGTGTTTGCTCTCACGTGCTGTATTTTTTTGTGTCAGATTTTGAGACAGATAGATACAAGTCAAGTTTGTTATGCTTGGGTCAGGAGCTGTAGTTCAGACTGCCTCTCACTTGCGAGCAGTTCTGCACTTCTGGATGTTTGTCATTATAAGATGACACTTCTCAGGGATTAGAGTGATATTGCTAAAAAAATTAAAATTTAAATTATTGGTGAAATACACTATTTACACACAAAGGTTGCATGTTTTGTTTTTTGTGGTTTGTTTCTGTTGTTTGGGCTTTTTTTAACCTTAATCCTGGATTTATTTATCTACTTCTTCAAACATCTCCTCTACTGGTGTTTGTTGCCATGGGGAAACTTTTTATCCACTTGAAAGCAGTGAAATTTAGATTCAATCTTCAGTACACACAGTATCCTTTAATGGATTTTCTAAAACACCATTGTATCCTTGCTGTTCAGTCTAGCTCTTAAAAAAATTACTTTGCTTTTCCCTACCTATTTAGTTTATTGTTTGCACAAATATTTTCTACTATATTTCTTTGTCCAGTTTTATATTTGTGGGTCACCTCTGTATTTGAAAGTGGGCTGGGTACGAAACAATTCCTTTGTGAACAAAGTTACATGTTTGCTTCTGGAGGTAAGTTATGACTTCTTGAAACAGGAAGTGTTTAGTGTTTTTAATTGTAAACACCAGCTGTCTCCTACCTCTGTATTTGTATTTTCCTTCTAAGCTGCTTCAGTTTGTTTCCAAAGTGCTTTTTATTGGCTACTCAAGTATCTGTGTGTATCTGCATGTTATTCTGCTTTGGTTAATAATAACAGGAGAAGTATTTACCCTCTGGGTGTGCATTTTTCTCCCTAAATCAGCAGTCAGTAAAACAAAACTGTTTTGACTCTTTTTATTACTAGCATTGCTTAGTATTCATTTTAGTGGCATCTATTTGCAACTTCATAAATAGACTTGGGTGCTCTCTTTCCTCCTGGATTTGTGTGTTGCTTAATCTTTTACTTTTTCAGCCTGTAAGCATGTTTCTGCTAAGATAAAATCTCAAGGAGGAAATAGTTTTAGAGAGGATAAAAGTACATCTTAAGTGGCTTTTCATGTTTATTTTGAGAAAGATAAAATGTCAAAAATAACAACGGAAAAAACCTTTACATTCACTACTGAATTTACGCTACAGTTGACTCAATTTTGTCTGTAACTTTTCTTTACCAGTACGTGGATGATGTTTTTCTTCTTACTCTTCCTGAAACTTACCTTCATAACCTGGAAACTTGAATGTCCAGGAGTCACACAGATAAATAACACTGTCATATAACAATTGTCTTCTATATCTGTGTCTCCAGTATTATGGTGGACATACGCTCTCTCCTACGCTCTCTCCAGCTACTTGTGTATTTCTAAAGGAAAGGAAGAGAACGTTGCAGCTTCTTTATCAATATCTGCTGAAGTGTGACAGGTGAACTCACAGAAATCCACAGGCTGATACAATTATGCCATTGCCTTGTTCTTCTACTTCCAATCTTCTTTTCAAAGGTGGAAGTTCCTGATGGATGTTGAGGAATGAAACCATTCAACTGGAGAAAAGTCTACCAGATGATTATTGATCCTTGCACTGATTTAAATGCTACCAGTCCAGTTGAGCTTTTCATTTTTAATGAAGTAGTAGAAATACCTAAGCAGCAAGATGACTTAATGGCTTGATCAAACAGTGCAAACATGAAAAACATTTGCTTTTATTAAAAGTAGTATGAGCAAAGTTTCCTGATGATAACTTTCCTTTGCAGATAATCAAGGATAGCTTGTGTGATAGACTTCTTACAGATGGGAATTCAGACCTATGTGTAATAAATATACCAGCACTCAGTTGCTTTTGATTTCCTGTGTGTATTTAGGATATATTTGTCCATTTGAAATGTATTGACTAGGTTTATATTAAACCATTAAATAAGTGGTGTGTAAATTCCATTTATTCTTCTAAAAGAGGCATGGTAGGTAGTGTATACCAATGTTTCAGTTTCAGCATACACATAAAGAAATGTCCAAGTGCAGCGGTGCAATGTTCATGCTGTTCATGATGGCTGTTATATATAATTCTGCCTCAAGGGTCTTCAGACTACCTTGACCCATTTCAGGTTTATTTTGTCTTCTGGTTTCATGGGGAACTTGGTTTTGTTTTCTTCTGTCATTCAACAGAAAACTGTTACTCAAATTTGTGTTTACTTCATATTGTACAAAGCATTAACTGATCAGGACCTGAGTTAATGCTTCTAACTTATTCTACATTTGCCTTTGATGCTTCTGTTTTTCTGGTTGTAGCTGCCAACAGCTTGAATGACAAGTTGGGTTTATTTGTCATTTTTTAGATGAGTTGGTTAAAACGCACTTTTTATGTCACTCTCCTGGGAGTGAATAAACAAACTGCTGTTTAATTAAACATGTCATAAGCTCATAATATTCTGGAAAATATTTTTAGGAGTTGTTGCAAACTTCAAAACTTTGGCTGTGTATTGGTTAGCTTTTCGAAGTTCTTTTGGTGCTCATAAGCTGGACAGCCAGCAACCAGAAAGCGGGGGTAGTAAGGACACCTCTGCTTGCAGTGCTTTGGTTCTGCAGATTAAATTAGCTAAAGGGAACCTTTTTTAGCACTTTCTTTCCTCTGATTGGTTTTAAAAATATGAATGCATTTTCTTACGTTTTAGGACTTTTTATGGTAGAAGATAAAACATTAAATCAATTAACCAGAGTGGATAAAACACAAAATATAAGGCTTAGGAAATAACTGATGTTAAATATTTGTTTAAAAGTCTCTAATAAATGTTGTGGTTGTTTTTTTTAAGTTGTAATATAAATAACCATTATTTTAATTGAATGTGAAATTCATTGAAATG